CTAAAACCCGAAAGCCCTAAAGCTCTGGCACTGGAAGCCTGGGGCTTCTTAGTAGCGAGGTGTTGGGTTCTTGGGGGTTCAGGGTTGATGGCTTTTTTACGGATAATACGGTTTAGGATTTTGGGTGTTTAGGGGTTTTAGGGATTTAGGGGNNAGGGTTTAGTTTAGGGGTTTAGGTTTCAGGTGTGTAAAATTTTTATGCGAGGGATTTCTGGTCCTCGGCATCCTTCTACTACGTGCGGGGTGTTTTTCGCTTAGTACTTGTTTGCGAGTTTCGTCTGCTTTCGGTTGCTACGTCGTTTTTGAAAGTGGTATGATTCATGGTTCCTACTACGGATGGGTGCGGAAGACTGGTCTTGGGGTTTTGGGGTCACGGTTACGGCCTTTTGGGGCTATCGGGTTTAAGGAGAGGGTCCGTGCAGTCCGAGTTCACCGAGGACGTTGGAGAAGATGCTTACGTCCATGCGTACCGACCTGGACAAACTCACAACGCAGGGCAGCTTGGTTGAATCCCCTCCGTATGTATGGCGGTTGATAAAAGCAGCGGTTGCCACCGGTAGAAGCATTTGCAAGATCGGAAGCGGATGTTGCCGTGCATTTAACTACCCGGCTGCTATAGTTTTCGCCAGCAGCAGCACCACGACCAGGGCCATCAGCTAGCCAGCACCAGCAGCACTATCAGCACTAACCGTAGTTGTTTCTCCTGAGGCGATGACGTCCTGGAGACCACCGAGAAGTCGGCCAAAGTCCAGGAGGCCGCGACACGCAAAATTGATCTGCGGGACTTGAGAATTAGGGGCGGCTTGAGGTTTCGGGCTTTCGGGAGTCCTGAATCTTATTAGCTTCCCGTCGTTGAACGAAGCTCCAGCCCACTATGTGGATTGCAAAGGTACCAGTTCAAATTACGGGTTCAGGGATCGAGTGTATCTGTATAAAGGATTCTGGGTTTAAGGGCTTTCGGACTTTAGGGTTGCGAGCGAGAGTGGGCTTGGCAAAATGTGTCTCGCTTGCAACCTTACTTCTGTCTATCCAGCAATGGCAAGGAAGATACATGCGAGGTTGGCTGCAATAGGGGCACGGGGCTAGGTTTTCATTGAAGGGCCCATTTCCCTTAGTACGTAGGGCGTTTCGGAGAACGGAATGCTCGACGTTTTGGGGATCTTTGCTTTTGCTTCCTTCGACTATTACTGTGGCGGCTATCGGCTTGGAGCCGAGCCCGTGAAAAGTCCGTCACCAGAGTTCCCTTTCGAAGGGCGTTTGGGTTTACCGAATAGGAGTTTTCTCAGGCGCAAAGGTGGGAATCGGCCGGGCCATGGCGATGTACAGCCACGTCCGGCAGTTTGCACTAAGAGTGATAAGAAGTGGGTATCTAGAAACATCTTGAAACCAGAGGCACTTTTCAAGGCACAAACCGACGGCACCCATGTGCCTGCAGCTCGTGGACTGGGATCCATGACGTTTCGCTGCAAGTGCCAGGTTTAGGGTTTAGGGT